ACAACAAGCATTTCAGTGTTTTAGAGAATACTATATTGATCAAGTAAGTGTCTAACATCTTCTCCAAACAAAGAATACCACTATAAGCAAGGATACAAGTGCCATATGTAGTCCGATGTAGCAGTGCCACGCTTGCCGTCTAGATAAACAAATTTTAAAGAAATAACACCTCTTGCTTGGTCCATAAGACTTGTAGAAAGCCTTCATAGTCTAATAAAGTCCCAGCTTTACACTATAAAGAAGTTATATTGCTTCAAACAGAGACCTTACATCCATTTCTTCTCCACCATTACTCGTTACCATGGTAATATTTAATTATTGCAATGAATATCATTAAATTTTAATGACCGGAAGTTCCATTCCAATTTCTGGACATGACTTTTGCTGATGATGAAACAGGCGAGAACTTGTTTTTGCTGCTGAATACCGATATTAATATGGTATCCTGTGAAAGAGAAAACCACACCGCCCTTCTATTAGCACCAGAGATCCAGATATGGAGTTTATACGGAAAACTACATGTATGTGGCATAACTCAAGGACTTGTGTGCTTTTGATGAGTTTTTTTCACATTTATGGGAAGCCTGTAGAGCTGGGCGATAGTTTCGAATATATTCACTATCGCGATAGTATAGAAGCTATCATGATGTGATAGTAGTATTTAAGCTATTGTGATAGTGGATCTAGCCAGCCAGTCTAGGCAGCATCTGTGCTATAACCACATTTTTAGCCATTAAGTGTTATAGTCATGGCAATGATAGCAATTTAAGAGTGATATTTGGTAGAGCTTTATACAAGGGTTCAGTAAAGCGTAAATGAACAACGATTATGCTTACTAGTTAGACAACACATCAAGCAATAATACGTACATAACAATATGCACATTTATTGCATTGTTGAGTTGTATCATTTTAATTTAAAATTAATAAACTAAACACATAAAAGCTATTATATTGTGATAGTTTCACTATTGGGATAGTAATTGAGGCAAATATCGTGATAGTGATTTTATCACTATCGCGCAGCTCTAGAAGCCTGTTCTTGTTATTCCAGTTTGGTCACTTTCTTTCAATTTATCTCGTTATTCTGCATCGTTTTATGTACAAAACTTGTTATATAATGTCCAGTTTCTTGTTGTAAAAGGAATAAACTGTTCACTGGAACACCATTTTTTAAAACACATTCACTCACAACATGATCTTGTTTGGGAGGTTTTGTCCTTTCAGATTGATAGAGTGCACCTAACTATGTAGTATTATATGGGTCTTGTGACAGGAGATTGTTTTGTTATTTTTTTACAGTTTTATAAACTTCATGTTTTAAGTCACTAAGTAATTCTTTAACTTTTGTTTTTGCTTTAAGTTACTTGAAAGAAGTACTTAATACATTAGTAAAACATGTTTGCTTCCCTTGGAGTCATCTAATTGAATCAATTTTACCTTACTAACATTTTTACATGTTTATTACTGAAGAATAAACGGTAGCCTTAATCACACGTGGGTGGTTTAGGTAAGTGACTGAAAGTAACCCGGATTGTTTCATCCGGTTTGGAATGTTTCTTATCTATGTATACAGTATCTATGAATGGACCTTTTGCCTTTGAGCGATTCTAATTAATGTGCACCCAAAGTGGTGGTAAAATGGCGGATTTTTGGAGGAAAGACAGGCTGAACAAGCTTCTCTTTTATCCAGCCATTCTAGCTGTAGGAGCCACTTTGAGCTGTCCTTTTGTTTCAGTATACTCTATTTATCTCTTCTGTAAGTTTTTTGGTTGCTGTTTTGGCTTTTGTAGCATTTTATCATAGGAATATTCTCATCCATTGGCAATTCCCGTTTTTCTAAATTTTGCTTTCAGGAGCCAGGGCGCTTGCCCCTCCATTGCTATGAAGACAGAAGTGTATTCATCTGAGTCCTATGACTATCGTCTATCATCAGACTTAGTCTCAGTCCATGAGAACCAGGTACGTTGGAATAAGTCACTCAGTTGTCATGTTGCAGCGTTGCAGCTGGAGTGTGGATGATTATGACCATCTTTTGACTTATTAAAACTATAGGTTGGCTTCTTTATTGATAGTTGAGGCATGAAGAGCTCATTCTTTATCTGTACATTCACTGTAGTGATGTGTGATAAACCGGTTTTGCAATTATCTAGCGATTATTTATAATAAACTATTATTTAACCGTATATTATTTTAATAAAACGATTATTGTAAAACCACGCCCATCAAGCACATGTCTACTTAGTAATGGCAGCTAGGCAGGCAATCTCTACAGAGTCTACACCCGGTGTATCAAACGTGGCTGGATCTTATGTCATCAAGAAGAAAAACACAAAGAGCTGCGTGTGGAAGGAGTTTGGTATAAGGTCAGATGAGAAAGGGAAGGTCATTGAAAGTGAAAAGGAGCGGCCGATGTGTCTAACATGTGGCAAAGGTGTTCAAGCAAAAGGAAGTAATACAACTAACTTATTTCAACATTTACGAGACAATCATCCAGCCATTTATTCTCAGTTAGCACCGGAGATACCGAGTAAAAGAGGAGACTCTCATCCTGATAAGCAGCCTAGTATGGTACAACTTACCTTACAGGAAACTCCAAAGAGGTTGGGTAAGTACAGTGCTCACAGTTCTGAAGCAAAAGAGTTAAATAAAGCTGTAACTTTCTACATTGCAAAGGATGCTATGCCTGTTTTCACTGTTACTAAGCCAGGATTTAAACACTTGTTGTCAAAGTTAAATCCTAGGTATGAGGTACCAAGCAGAAAGCATTTCACAGAGCATGAAATTCCATCACTGTATTCTGATATAAGAGATAACAAATTCCAGCCAGCTTTTACTAAAGCTTCCTTTTTCTCTAGCACAACTGATTTGTGGACTAGTGGGTCATGTGATCCCTATTTAGCGTTCACCATTCATTTCATAGATGCTAGTTGGAATTTGACATCATATTGCTTGGATACTGTACCTTTATACGCTGATCATACGGGTGAGAACATAGCTGAAACCACGACAGATATTCTGGAAAATTGGAATCTTGATGTGACTAGACTTGTTGCAATGACCACAGATAATGGATCTAATGTTGTAGCAGCATACAGAAATTTAAACATTCTCAGAGTAAGCTGCTTTGGTCACAATTTGGACCTTGCAATTAAGAAAGGACTAGATATTCAACAGGTACAGAGAGCATTAGCACGATGTCATTCTTTGGTTGAGCTATTTCATCGTAGTTGGAAGAAAACAAGAGACTTACGTGAGAAGCAACGGCAACTTGATCTCCCTCAACACAAGATAATGGGAGACGTATCTACTCGTCGGGGGTCTACGTTTTCCATGATTTCTCGTATACTAGAGCAGCAGCAAGCAATATCTGCTGTCATTGCAGATGAAAGAAAGTATTGGCATAAAATGCCTAATGATGCTGAATTTACAACTTTGGAAATTGTTTATGATGTACTTAAGCCATTGTCAAGTTTAACTGATGCTCTTGCTGGAGAAAAACAAGTTACAGCATCAGCAGTTATTCCAGTATCGAAGCATGTCAAAAGCGTACTAGAGCCAGAAAGTGCTGATAACCAGCTGAAGGCAAGAATGAAGAATATTATATGGTCTGATTTACAGAATAGATATGGAGAGGACGAAGATTTTTATAATACTCTTAGTCTTGCTTCATTTGTTGACCCACGATTTAAGCACCGACATTTAGAGAGAAAAGAAGAAATAGTTGAAGTTATGAAAAAGGAATGTATGGAATTTTACTCACCACCTTGCAGTACCACTACAACAACACAGGTGCTAGAGCCTCCTCCTTCAAAGAAGCTCAAAGGCTTAGCAGGATTACTTGCAAGTATTGAGAAAGATGACCAAACCACATCACAATCACATTCAACTCTCAGTCCTGAGGAGAAGATAAACTTAGAGATTACTCTATATCTGGAGGCTCCTTTTTTGGAACCAGAGGGTGATCCTTTGAGTTGGTCGAGAAGAGAAGATGTGCGGTATCCAACTATAGCTCAAGTGGCAAGGAAGTACTTGTCGATTTGTGGGACAAGTGTCCCTTCTGAAAGGATGTTTAGTCTATCTGGCCACATAGCCAGTGACTCTCGTAATCGTCTACTACCAGAAAATGTCAATAAACTTGTTTTTTTTGGCTAAGAACATGGACTAAGAGTGATTTTTGTTAATTTTTCTTATACATACACTTTTTGTGCATATATACACTCATTGCACATTATAATCGTGATTATTGTTATAATCGTGAAAAGTTGATAAACCAATAATCGTCAATGAGTAAATATGTAATTGCCCATCACTAATTCACTGGTTGTATTGTATGAGCACCTCATGTCGTATTATCTGTCAGTTGCTATCCAATACTTGCAGAGAGGAATCATCACATTCAGGACTCGTTCATGGCTCGTACACCATTTGTATCATCTCCCAACAGTTTTACTAGTTATTTTAAATTATAAAAAAAACATTATGGGTGTTGTTGCTAGATTTATTATTATTATTGTTGTTATCACAGTTAGGTCATTACATTGCATTTGTGTAGACAACTATTTATGTATTTACTCATACTTTATGATATTAACAGCATGTACACAATAATTTGAGACTATCTCAATGATAACAAAGATAATTATTGTAATTAACATCAATTTTTATCATAAATAAAATATAAAAATCATGTAATGATGGAAGTGTTTTGGACGTTGCTATTAATAGCTAGTTACATGATGCTGAACTCTTCCAGCACACTTATGTTCCTTGGAATGCTTCTTACATGTGATTAAAGACTAAGCCTATAATTTTAAGAAATGAAAAGATGGTCATTCTTCTTTTTCAAGATAATTTATTCATTGAATATTAACCATAATAACCTGTGGATATGAATCAGAATGGTGTCACGATGATAAGTGCCACGCCCAATTGTGGGAAAGATCACCCATGTGTACTAGCATGGCAATGGCAAGTAAATACTTTGAAGGCTTGGATCCGCTTCAGAAAAGGAGATACGTCGAGAAACTGAACCTGTTGGGGCTTAAGGCTACAGATGATCCATACCAACCTGAAAATTTGCCAAAATTTGTTGATAGCAGAGTAAATGGCCACCCATTGAATTTGGGCATATTTTTAACGACCTGGGGGCGTAGCCCCCAGGTCGTTCCTATAATTGATTTCACCCATGTGCGATGTTTGTATATATATATATATATTTGTATGTCCACACTTACATTTCTTCCATACATGTTGTATTGGAGAAATAACAAAATTTATAAGCCTTAGCAACCACCCGCCCACGCTCCTTTACGTAATGGGTGTGGCCACGGCAAACAAAATGGCGGCTTACACATGGGACAAAGTTAAGAGCTTTCTAACAGCAAGAGAACATAAAGATACTGTCTAAAGACTTCTCTACAAGCATCACAAAGTAGAGAGAGCCTCTATAAGTCTTAATAAAAATCAAGCTGTACTTGCAAGGTGGTGAAATCAATTATAGGAATATTTTTTACACTGTTACGCTTGTTTGCTATTTTATTGAAAGACCTGGATTGTACACGAAGAAGCAACTTCTTCAGTGGAAGAGTATGGATGGGTATAATTATTTTAAAAGTGGTCATGTCAGAGAAATTGAAGTTTGGGAGGCTGGATCATCCACTTTATCTTAATGGCAATTGTTAATCCCAGTCAAAGTTCTGTTGATAAAGCTCATACTTCATGGGTAGCTGTGAAAGATAACGGAGATATTGTAACCTGTCACTGCACATGCATGGCTGGGTGAGTTTTAGTGCTGTTCCATTACTTCATTGTCTATTCTATTGGCTTGGTGAAGGTTGCTCCCATGCTGCAGCAATACTTTTTAAAGTTGAAACTGCAGTGAAAAGTGGATATACTGCTTGCACTTCAAGTTTTCGAAAATGGAATCAATTTTACTCTTTGAAAGTAAGTAAAGCCTCCTTAGCAGTTTCCATAAACAATAATTATTGTCTTATTTCACAACCCATCAGAAATAATTGGAATAGACTTTTCAAAGCCTTCTGTAAATAAAAGGGATGAAGCAGCAAGCCAATCATATGCACAACCAGCTAAAAAAGAAAAATTGCAAATTCAACTGAAGATGAGAGATTGGAATTCATTGAAGAACTCAGTGTTATCAATCCAAATTCTGCAGTGATAACAGCATTCAAGCCTGTAGCAAATGATTCTTCCCCCCCTTTCTCCTGTTATAAAATCTCTTCCGCGACCATTATCTTCTTGCTATGACCCCAAGTACAAAAATCTGTCACCTCAAGACCTCAGTAAAGAATGCCAGCTGTATTTTAATGAAAAAATGAAAATCACTGCAGCTGAGTCAGAGTACTTGACCCAAGCAAGTATGCTTTAATATCGGTCTTCTCACTGGTGGGAGCACAGATATGGTCGACTAACAAGTTCCAACTTTTATGCAATCTGTGGAACGACATTATCTAAGCCTGCTCAGTCTCTTAAAAGCATACTTTCAAAGAATGCAATTCATCTGCTGTGTTTGTTCCTGCACTACAATGGGGCATTGAGAATGAAATGGTTGCAAGAAAGTCATATGAAGCAATTGCTTTAAAGGATCATGAAGATTTTAAAGTTAAATTGACGGGTTTACATGTAAACATTAACTCCCCACATTTGGGTGCATCACCAGATGGATTAATTTCATGCCAGTGTTGTGGAAATGGTATTTTAGAAATTAAATGTCCATATAGTGTTCGAGATGGCCAACCAACTGAATGTGCATACTTGAAAGTATCTGAGCATGGGCAGCATGAATTATTGAAAACACATCAATATTATTACCAGATACAAGGGCAAATGGGCATTGTAGTCTCTAAATACACTGATTTTGTCTGTTGGACAAAAAAAGGAATTTATATAGAAAGAATTAAATTGGTTGAAGCATTTTACAAGTCAGTGAAGGAAAAATTGGACAAATTTTTTATTAAAGTAATCCTCCCAAAATTACTTAGTGGCAATGCAGATGCTCATCCCAGTGAAAAAGACCAATTATTTTGTTTTTGTCGTAAAGGAGAATATGGAAAAATGATATTTTGTGATTGTCAATTTTGTAAATATGGATGGTTTCACTTTGCCTGTGTAAACATAACAGAGGAACCAGTTGGTCAATGGTACTGCCCTGACTGTGTGTAACTGCAATATTTTAAATTACTCTTGTTAGTATTTATACTTTACTTATCATACATTCAGACTTAAACAATTACTTGATAATACATTTTGATAGATTTGTAAGTGCTGCACAAACAGTAACTATTTTATCAATGTTGGCAACATTGGAGTCAGATTTGTGTTTTAGAATACAAATAGGAAGAGTCCCTTTCAGAATTTTATATTTCATTTTCAAAAGCCCAATTACTCGTTCAACATGTACTCGTACATGTGATAAATTCTTGGTCATTTCAACATCTCGTTGTGACAACTGACCTTTTCCTCTTGTAAAAGCTGGGATTTCTAATTTTGCACCTACCAACCCAACATCATCACTAATTGTAAACCCTCTGTCAGCAAGAACAACATCACCACGCTCTAATAGTGAAAGAAAGCCACTCTCCTGGGGGGTCAAAACTTTATCAGAGACTTTGCCACCCCAACACTTTGAGACAAAAGAAATTGATCTAGAAGGAGTGATAGCAATTAATAGCTTCGCAGTATTGTGTTTCTTATAATTTGAAAAGGTCTTGCTTCGTGTAACGTATCCTGATGGCTTTTCTATAAAAATTTCTGTACAGTCTATAATGCATCTACGGGCAGGATATAGCTCTTTTATGAATGGTGGCATATTTTGAGTGCAAATCTCTCCGGATGGCCATTTTATAAGGAACTGAAGACATGCATACAAAGCATCGATCCATTTATCAAAAATTCTTGACACTGTTGGTAGAGAAACTGCAAATCTTACTGCTAAATCATTCAGAGTCAAGTCTAGCCGAAGGCGTAAAAGAGTAAGTAGCATTTCATCCTCAAGACTCAGTACTAGAGAAGGAGTAACAAATTTTGATACAAATTGAAAAGTGTGCATGAAAACCGGCCATGATGGTAATCCAGTGTACAATAAAACAAGCTTGTCGTTGTCTTTTAACAGTTCCACTGAGAATGTCACTTTCTTTAATCTCAATTCTAACTTAGCCACCTTCAACCGCATTGTAACTAACTCCTTATGTTCTTTACTTTCTGTAGTACTGTTGTTACTCAAATCATCAGTAGGACAAATGTCCTTGTCCTGCGGTAATAATGCCTCCATTCTTTCATCCTCAGCTGCACTGATATCCTGCAATAGGGACACTTCCTCATTTTCATCTTCCATTTGTCCATCCCTTCATGCTCCACAGCCTCTACTTCTGCAAGTCTCAAATAAAACAATCTTTCAATTTCCTCAATTTCTCTTCTTCCCTCCTTCTCTCCTCTTTATGCTTCTTTTGTTGCTCTATCTCTTCATACATAGCACGCAACTGATAATCCTCATTCATTAAATACTCCTGATTTCTTATGACTTCTTCTTCCATTTTCTTTAATTGTTCATTCTCTGTTTCAGAACTTGAACTTTCCTCTAGCTCTGGTGTTTCTCCTCCTTCCTTTTCCTCCTTTAACCTTTTCAAAACTCTTCTGCTTGTTTTCTCTTGCTACGTTTGTATGCAGCAGGAAAGATGGATGGAACATAGTCCACATGCTCAGGACTATCATGTGGCTTGCCTAAAAATTAGTACCACCATTAGAATAAATGTTACAAGCTACCTTCAGTGAAGTGCTCATTGCATATCCTAGTATGCTTCTTTGGCTTCCACCTTGCTCTTCTCACTGCCTCTGCCCATAGTTTGCATCTCTTTTTGTTCTTTAAGGGAAAAGAAAAGAACCTCAGGCAACCTTTCTTTCCTACGTAGTTGTGGCAGCCTACAACACAGCAGTTGTTTACCATTGTCGGCAATGGCTGAAATGGCTGATTCCCACAATGGGGTGTGGCACTTGTCAACGTGACGCAATGATGATTCATATCCCCAATTAAAAGTCATGAATAATTATTGTGAAAACCAAGAATAATCATCCACACTCCAGCTGAAACATGACAACTGAGTGACTTATTCCACCATACCTGGTTCTGATAGACTGAGCAAGTCTGATGATAGACGCTAGTCATAGGACTCAGCTGAATATACTTCTGTCTTCATAGCAATGGAGGGGCAAGTGCCCTGGCTCCTGAAAGCAAAATTTAGAAAAATGGGAATTGCCAATGGATGAGAATGTTCCTATGATAAAATGCTATAAAAGCCAAAACAGTAACCAAAGAATTTACAGAAGAGATAAATAGAGTATACTGAAACAAAAAGATAGCTCAAAGTGGCTCCTACAGCTAGAATGGCTGGATAACGCTTAAGTGCAAAAGGTCCATTCAACTCCAATATAGTATTGCATTATTTGCCAGACACAGAAATTTGTATTCTATATTGGCTGCAACAAAGTTTTCCTCAAACAAAATGTAATATAAACTTTTTATAATAGTGAAAGACAGAAGTGTACCACTGTTAAACATAAATAATGATATTTCATACTCATTAAAGGGTAAGTCCGGTGTATTTTTGGTGAATTTTTTTATTGGCTTAATATGATTGCCTGACCATAATAATGATGTATTCCAACTCCCATTGTCTAAAAAAAATTTTCACTGAGATATGAGCCTTCAAAGATACTCATTTTTTGTTACTTCCTCTCTGTGGGTGTGGCTAAATGTGACGTCACTAGAGGTTTAGATGCAGCTAAATCATAGATAATAGAGTACAGAGGGATTGGAAACGGGGTATCTCCGTATACATCCCTAGGATACGGATGCTAGTTGACATTTGCATCTAGCAACGCCTAGCAACGGAGGCTGTCTTTGAGCAAGAGCTGTCTTTTTGAGACCTGTCATTCCAGCAGTAGTGTCACTGTATGTCATTATTTATATCAAAGGAAGTAGAAGAGACTAGCATCTATCTCTAGACAAATTTTTATGTTGCTAGCATCATCATTTGCACTGAATATTTGCTCTGGAATGAGAATGCTTAGAATGACATTTTGTTTTGTACCCTTATCTCAGTAGTGTTAGACAGAAGACAATAACTTATTCAGCCACTCAATAGAGATCCATAATGTGGAGGTCGCCCACTATGTTTCGTTTGGAAATACGATTGCATCTTTCTGTAACAATAAATTTACTGATTAGTTTGAGAGGTTTGTTTTGTACCCTTAACATAAAAACCAAAGGGTCTGTGACATTAACTATCACACCATCGTATTGCTTAGAACACACCGGAGATCGCCAACACAATTTCTATTCAATAGGTTGTACAAATCAAAATATAGAACTAATTATAGTAAATGTGATCAATAATGATTGCTAATTCATAAAACACTGAATTTAAACTGCAAACAGATACATTGCTACAGCAGACAGCTTGGGCAAGCAGGAAAAATGTCTCTCAACATTATTGAAGGGTTACCTATACAAAATAAGACTTTATGCAACAAAAAACCACCTGAGGAGTTTGCTTACCTTTTTCAACTTTCAGCCATTTAAATTTTACATACGAGTAATTAGAAAAATTATTTACGGTACTATCAACTAGCATTTTCCTGTTGCTACGGCCCGTTTCCAATCCCTGTATACTCTATTATCTATGGCTAAATCCATTCCTTTATAGGGGGAAATAATCCTTTATTCTCGTGCCTAGTAATGCAATAGCACTAATTTAAAGATTGGGATCATTAGCTTTCATTATTCTAAGCATGTAACTGCAAGAAAATGTCATGATACCATAAGTAGGCAAATTTTCTTGTTTGCTATTTTGAGTCTTTTTCTTGCAGTTGCATGCTTAGAATGATGAAAACTTATGATCCCAATCTTTAAATTAGTGCTATTGCATTACTAGGCATGAGAATAAAGGATTATTTCTCCCTATAAAGGAATGGATTTAGCTGCATCTAAACCTTTAGTGACGTCACATTTAGCCACACCCACAGACAGGAAGTAACAAAAAATGAGTATTCTTGAAGGCTCATATCTCAGTGAAAATTTTTTAAAGACAATTGGAGTTGGAATACATCATTATTATGGTCAGGCAATCATATTAAGCCAATAAAAAACTTCACCAAAAATACACCGGACTTACCCTTTAATACTCATTAAGTGGTCAGTGTCTGTAACTAGTTCTGTTTCCAAATCACTACTATCATCAGAGTCCAATGAGAGTTCTTCATCAAAATTACCATCACTGTTTAATGCTGTATTTTCAGCAATAGAAGCACTAGGTGTACACATGTAGATGTGTTCTAGCATCCATTGCATACACAACCTGGACCGCATGATATAGACTTTTGTTTGCACCCTTGTCTAGCCGTTAGACATCCCTTTTTTGCAACCACATCCTTTTAAAAGAAAATCTATATTTCTCCTGATTTCCTTTTCTTTTTCAGGATCCTCCCAGTCTATAGAGTATGAGTGTCATTGAGTATCCATCCACTTTGTTCAGGCAGAGGTAAATTAGAATAAATATCTGACTGTATTGAACGATTCCATAGGTTGCAAATATATGTTGTATGTTGCCAATGTCGCCATAAGGCAGTAACAGTAGGCATTCTTTCCTCTTCAGAAAAAATTTGGTCGCTAACGACAGATCTTATTTTTGATAGCCATGTTTTATGCCTTTCTTTTGATGGTTGCAATTCATTTATTGAGTTATAAAGCTGCTCTGGTGTTTCATGTTCAAAATTTGAGATGAATCCTGAGAGATGCCTTTTGAAGTACACAGATCCAATTAGTCTCAGAAATGATAAAAAACTACTGTTACTCTGACTATAACTTATTTCTGCTAAAGAACCAGGCATAGCACTACCACAAATGAAATGGGTATTGAGGAAAAAAATATTTAAAAATGTTGACTTTCCAACAGATTTAAAATATGACGTAAAGTCAGAGCCAGTTCCAACAAAAAGAGACACCATAACTTGTGGTATATGTTGCTAGGGTATTGAAGTGAGATCTGGATCATTCTGTAAACTAGATACTAGATTGTTTAGATACAAATCCTTCTTTTCCAAGGTATGAGGCATATTTAGATGCACTATGATTTTCTTTTGAATATGGGCAACAAGAGTTACACCAATATTGTACACATCTGTATCAGGAGAGTATAGTAGTACTCTGCTACCTGGGCACATACTAGCTTGTCTCCAAAGCATCTGATCTGCTTCAAAAGAATTAGAACTATACATGTAGCATGGTTCTGGCTGTGGTACAGTTGTTGCACTTTGTTTTACAATCCAAACTATAAACAGCCAGCTAAAACAATCTTTGGATCTTCTTGTACCCAAATCTGCCTAACTGAAAAAAGCTCAAGCCAATTGCATGTATTTGTCGATATTTACATATTCTACATTGAAGAACTTCACGCCAAGCAACAGGTGTGCTGCTGGTTGAGTCAAACCCTTTATGCTCATGAGTGCTGACACTCTCATCTCTTCTTGCTTGCTTGAATTGTTTATGGTTAAATCTGTTAGTGCAAGGCTTATTGAAGATAAGGTGTACTTCAGTAATTCCAGACGAAAATTGTTCTTTAACAAAACGAGTGAAAAGCAACTTGGCATACTCTGATATTGTTTTAGTATTGCGCTAATGCTTGGTGTTAATAATAAACATAGCCTCAATTATGACAGTTTGAGGTACCCATTGAGTATCAGTTACATTAGTAAAACACAGGGAGTTGATTCCCTGTATCTTGTCTGTAATTTGCCAGTCTGATGTGATTCTGGAGACTTATGGGGTATTCCATTTTCGTCAGCTAATGCTCTTGGTAAAAACGAATACTGTTCATGTTCTGATTGAAGTGCCTGTCCAGTGTGATTGCACCGAGCTAGGCGACGTTGAAGACATTTAATTACTCTGTTATTTTCTCTATCTTTTGCAGACACTCCTTTCTTACTGATTTTTTTAGTTGACATTGTTAATAATCTTTTTTGCCTTATTGTTGAGTTTGTAATGCTTGATTGTCCTAAAATGTTGTGTGTAATGGATGATTCTGTTGCAGTCTGACCAATAAGTCGTATATTAATCATGTCGTGCATCTGTTCCAGACTTGCCTCTTTTCCAGTGAAGGTATTAATTAAACCCCTGCC